AGGCAGCCACGAGTGACACCGTATTTGACTCTTGCCAACAGTGTCAGATTACCCAACAAGTGTAAGACAAGCACTGGTTTATTTCTGCTTATTGGGTAATCTGTAGAGAAAAATCACTGTTCGAATCTCCTGCCAAGGACCTCTTTAAAGTGTGAAAGGGCAAGAATGTCACTTTAAAGACTAAGGTACAATTGTTCATAGCAGTGTTATTCACCATCGCAAGAACATGGAAACAGCCCAAATGTCCAAGCACAAACGGATGGATTGAGAAACTATGGTACATCCACATGATGGAATACTACGCAGCACGCCGGAGCAATAATTACTTTGTAAATTATGACCTAACTTGGGAGGGCCTGGAGAGCATTATGCTGAGTGAACTAACTCAGTCCCACAAGGACAAATATTGTATAAGACTGTCATTGTAGAATGAGTATAAGGATCCAGGAGGGGTGGGAGAGGCTGGAAGCAGAGGGATGTGATTGTGCAGGGGGAAGAGGGGATTAATCATTGGGTTGTACAATTTGATGGTTAAGGAGGTGAGGGAAATTCAAAGAATGTGTTTGAATTTGTATTAGAATTTTGTAAATAAGCTAATAATGAAAAAAAAAAAGACAAAGGTACACCTGATCCCAGCCATGGTTTTAGCAATTGCCTGATGTGTATGTGAAAGATGGACAGTGAATGACCATGGCTGAAGAATCGACGTCTCTGAATTGTGGTACTAGCAAAGAATACTAACAGTCAATATTCTGCAGAATAACGAATCTGTCGTGGAAAAAGCGCAAGAATGGCAAATCTTCATCTCACAAACTTCTGAGCATGCTATCAGGAGGGGGCCAGTCCCTGGAGAAAACTATCCTGATATAGTCAATACTCTTCGTCAACAAGAGAGGTGTGGCGTCAGAATTGGTGGAAGATCTATCAACAATCTGCGTTATGCAGATGACACAACCCTGCTTACTGAAACTGAGGACCTGAAATGCTTGCTGCAGAGGGTCAAGGACTGCAGCCTACAATATGGATTGAGGCTCAATGTCAAGAAGACAAAGATTCTCACCACTGGACCAATTGGCAGCATCAGGATGGATGGAGAAGAGATTGAGATTGTACACAGCTTTAGTTTGCTTGGCTCCATGGTCAACACTCTTGGCACCAGTAGCCAGGGAATCAAAAAATGTATTGCGATGGCAAAGTCTGCTGTTAGGGACCTCTCTAAAGTACTGAAGAGCAATGGTGTCACTCTGGAGACTAAGGTGCATCCGATACAGGCCATGGTCTTCGCAATCACTTGTTATGCATCAGAGAGTTGGACAATGACTAGGGAAGATAGAAGGAGAATTGATGCCTTTGAGCTGTGGTGCTGGAGACGAGTATTGATGGACTGCCAAGAAAACAGATTCATCCTGGAGAGGGTTAAACCAGGCTGCTCCGCCTGACATACTTTGGACATGTTGTAAGCAGGAACAGGTCCCTGGAGAGGGACATCATGCTTGGTAGGGTGGAGGGACAGCGCAAGAGGGGAAGACCCTCTATGAGGTGGATTGATTCAGTGACTGGGGTAGTCGGGATGGGAGTGTCAGAGACAGTGCGATTGGCACAGGATAGAGCACGGTTTAGGGCTGTTGAACATAGGGTCGCTATGAGTCACAAGTGACTCCAAGGCACACAACAACAACTTCGTCAATGCCATAATTCAAAGGCTTCCCTTTGTCTTGGCCTTCTTATTCTCTGTCCGTCTCTTCACCTTATTAGGAGGACATTGTAAATATGGCTCGGGTCAGACGCACACTTTAATCCATGAAAGTGACCTCTTTGTTTCTGATAGGAGAGTTGCCCAATGCAGTGCATCCTCTAAGCTCCTAACTATCGCTTCCATGGGCATTGATTGTGGATCCAAGTAAAAAGAAATCTTTATCACCACCAATTTCTTCTTCGTTCATCACGACGTTGCCCACTGGGTCAGCGGTGAGGAGTTTTATTGTACTGGTGACGAGGTGTAAGCCGCACTGAAGGCGTCAGTCTTTGATTTCTCTTTAGTAAATGCTTCAAGCAAAGTTGTGTCACCTGCATCATGCAGACTGTTGAGGGATCCTCCTTCAACCCGACGCCACATTCTTCTCCACTGAGTCCAGCTTCTCAGGTTATTTGCTCAGTATAACAGATTGGATACGGTAAAAGAACACCACCGTGACACACACTTTTCCTCATTTTAAACCATGCAGTGTCACCTTATTCTGTGTGAACAGGTGCTTCAGGGTCTATCTACAGGTTCCACATGGGCACAATTAGGTGCTCTGGAATCTCCTCTTCTCGATGTTACCCATAATTCATTGTGAGTCACGTTCTCAAATGCCTTTGCATTGTCAAGAAGACATCTATAAACCTCTTTCTGTTTCTATAAACATATTTTATTAACGTATTCTCTGCTTTCAGCCAAGCTTCGACAATGGTATTACTTTGACATCAGCAATATCTGTCATTCCACGTTCAACATTGGTTGAAATGCTTTCCAAGATACTAGTTAATAGTATTAGAACTTCCTTTGATGGGTAGAGGGAGGGATTGGAAAAGGAAAGGGGAAACGTCCAGTGTAAAAAACAACATACATGAACTTTGTATATAAACCAGTATTAAATAATTTTTTTAAAAAATAATATAATTTTCTCCATGGCAGAAAATGGGGCAAGACTTCAAGATCCCTGGGAAATAAAATATTTCTATTCTTTCATGAAAGAACTCCGCTTAAAGGCTTGGTTGCTAATCACAACAAAAGATCAGGTGTCTGAACCTGCCAGCCGCTCCCTGGGAGACAGTGATCCATTTCCATTAAGATTTTGGTCTGGGGTGAGCTCTGGTGGCCTAGTGGCAGGAAACTGCACTGCAATCCCAGAGGTGCACACTTCAAATCCACCAGATGCTGTGCTGGAAAAGGAGGAACAATCGCCTCCTGTACCAGTCAGATCCAATTTGACGGTACACACAAAACAAATAATAAAAGAAATTTTTTTTTTTAAAAATTGCCAGGGGAGCTCTGGTGGCCTAGTGGCAGGAAACTGCACTGCAATCCCAGAGGTGCACACTTCAAATCCACCAGATGCTGTGCTGGAAAAGGAGGAACAATCGCCTCCTGTACCAGTCAGATCCAATTTGACGGTACACGGAAGGAAGGAAGGAAGGAAGGAAGGAAGGAAGGAAGGAAGGAAGGAAGGAAGGAAGGAAGAAAGAAAGATAGATTGATTTTGGTCTGGGGAACTAGGGGCAGCTCTCCTGTTACATGAGGTGATTATGAGTCAGACTTGACTTGATGATACACACCCACCACATCTTCTCAAGAGCTTCTGAAATAAACTTTGAAATGCACCACAGCTTCCTTCAAATGCCCTTTAGCTGGTATCTCACCCAGAATGCTGCTTCTTTAAAACACCAGCCTTTCAATACTGGCTTTGCCTTCAGTGAAAGGATTTCCCCCTCATTCATACCTCCATGCCCCTCCGTCCTCATCCAAGGCTCTTGTCCATCTCCAAGTACGAACTCAGTCCCCCTGCAGCCCACCCAGCCACACTTGAGATCTGACGCTTGGGTTCCCTAGGGCCACCGCACCGCCCTTTGATTCAAGCCACAGCTCTGTTCTCAAGCAGCCTGGGTTTAAGTCACTTTGTGACAGAGATAAGTAACTAATCTCTAACATCCATTCTTCTCTACTGAGTGACACTCATGTCTATCAAAATACAGGACTGGCCAGGAAAAAGTCATTCACCAAGATACTTCTTGCTCCTCCAAGTTCCTCATTTCCCTTGACCCACCAGTCACCACGAATTATCATTTTGCTCGATTTTCCATTCAGGTCTTGCCTATCGCCTCCCTACTTCTCTTTCCCAGAAAGCGCCTTGTAGAGAAGAGCCAGGTCTGCCTTGGACTCTGTTGTGTGATTCATGCCCAACACCCAGCTAGCTCATCACGGATCATCTATGTTGTTGTTGTTGTTGTGTGCCGTCGAGTTGCCTGCGACTCATAGCGACCCTATGTTCAACAGCCCTAAACTCCGCTCTGTCCTGTGGCAATCGCACTGTCTCTGACACTCCCATCCCAATTACCCCAATCATGAATCAATCCACCTCATAGAGGGCCTTTCTCTCCTGCACCGTCCCCCCACCCTCCCAAGCACGATGTCCCTCTCCAAGGACCAGTCTCTCCTCACAACATGTCCAAAGTATGTTAGACGGAGCCTCAGAATCCTTGCCTCCAAGGAGCCACCCGGTTTAACCCTTT